TTTCTTGAAAGCTCTGTCTGATCTATTCTGCACTAAAATTCATGCTCAAATTCAGGAACCCCCCACCCCTGGAGACCAATCTTCCTCCTACATTTTGACCACTTATTGTCTTCTCTGTATACTCCTCCTCTTCTTTGCCTTCAGTGGAGTGGGTCTCAGGGTTTGGTTCTATGTTCCTAACCCTTTCACTCCACACTTTCTTCTTTGAAAAGCTCATCCCCATCTGTGGCTTCATTGACTTCCAAATCTCCCCCACTATGGCAGATCTCTCATCAGCAGTGTGGGCGCATGTGGTGCCCACAGGGCATCTCCACTTAGGTGTCTGGTAAGAACCTCAAGAAGTTCATCATTTCCCCCCAACAAGCCTGCTTCTCTTCCTCTGTCCCTTTCTCAACATTGTCATCAACCCACACATCTAGAATATTATCCTTGGAAATCCTCACTCATCAAGTTTCCTCCCACCCCCCACTCCTTAGTTTTCCCATTAAACTCGGGCCTTCTCTTTTCACACACAGCTATACTTACGCATATTTCTGCACCAGCTCCAGTCTTCCCCACTCCTATCCATTCAACACTGCTTCAAGTGAGCTTCCTAAATGCCAGTCTCACCTAAATCCTTCAATGCCTCCCCATCGCCCAGGATTGAGTCCCCTTAGCATAGTACTCCAGGTTTCCTGTGATCTCATGCCCTGTGATTACATTTTTGTAATGGAGCCTCTTTTCTCCCTACTCCTCTCCCTGGCATCTGAGTTCCAGCTGTACTGAACTCCCTGTGCATCCCTGGACCCTGCTTGCACCCTCATCTCTGGACCGTTGTTCATGCTATGCCCTGCATCTGAATGCCTTTCTCATCCAGTTCATCTGGCTAAGCACTAGTCATCATTCAGGTTTCAGCATGGCCACTACTTCCCTGAAGATGCCTTCTCTGCCCTCCAAGCTGACCCAGGCTTCTCCCCTCTGATGCTCCACTTCCCTGTGCTTCCCTAAAGTGGAACAATAGAATTACCCTGTCATTGCCTGTCTACTAGCCTATCTATCCTCCTCACTCCCAACTCTATGAGCTTTCTATGGGCAGGGACAGAGGTAGATTCTCCATGAATCTGAGGATGCTCGAGCTTCAGGCTCCTCACTCGCCCAGCTCCTTCCCAAGGCTCTTAGAGGAGCCATAACAATGTCCTCATTCAGTGAGAACACAATCCTCAACACTGTCTTCTCATGGTCATATGATTTGTCAAAAAGATTCAAACACAACCCATTAAAAATGTCATCTTTTTCTACCTGACTTCCCCTCTATGTCACTTCCTTTCATATGGGGGCACTGAAATGGTTGTGGGATAGGTTTAATTTGGGGTCAGTGGGGGTATTTTACAAAAGTGCTTCACGGTTAACTTCTGTGGAATATTCTTACTGTCTAATGCACAGACCCCCCCCAGTATCATGTACAAAAGTGCAGGGCCAGAGATTGTGTTGTGATATGAACATGCTCTATAGCACCTGGAGGTGGAAGATAAGCAAAGTTTAAAACGCTCAGAGCTGGAAGCTTATCTGTGTAATATTCTTAAAATCACAGGAAGAATAAAATTACTAGCAAAGACTTCTATGTTCTTCCACATCTAGATTGAAAATGCCTCTCTTTTCAGGAATATATTCAATAATGTCACATACGGAATTATACATTTGGCACACATTTAAAAATTTTTTATGGGAATGCCACAAAATAAGTTGTGTCATCATTCTTGTGCTATAGGGTACAAACCTGTAACAATGCTACAAACAGAGAACATGTTTATATGGGAAGTAGCATGTTTTAAACATCCCTATGGATCAGGAAAGATCTTGGTGCATCTGAAACAATTTGTGTTCCCCAAACCTGAAAGATTCAGATAAAACAGCATACAAAATCATCACCAATGCAGGAAGATGATCTGAAGAAACCAGTCTGGCAACATTGCTACACAATGTATGTAGTATAAAAGTAAGTTCACAGGGTACTATGTTAAACATGTATTTGAACTCTTTTGTGTGTGCCTTAATTTCAGATTAATATTGTATGTTTTTGGAATTAATTATCACCACAAAACTCAAATATAACAGAAAGGAAGCATCCTAGTGGAAGCCAAAAATATCAACTGAGAGACTAGCAAAGGCTTCACAATGTCCAAATCTCCTATATCACATGGTTTAAAAAGCTGATGGCACAGAGGAAGATAAGGAAAGAATCATGATATCCATAAAACAGAAATAGATAGATTAAAAAAAAACAGAAGGGATAAAAAGGTTATAAGAATCAACACACTATCAAACAAGAAATAAAAGAGCAGAAGAGATGCAGTGCAGAATTCATATATCCAAAGTAGAGGTTTTCTCCAAATTCACAACAATCCTCACTCTTACAAGACATTACCATAATGATGCCTGAGGATAAAAGAAACTTTCCCCAACTCTCAATAACATAAAGCAATTTTTGATGATAAACTATACAAGAGAAAGGATTGAATTGTCTTTTGGTCCTCCTTGGAAAAGAACATTACAAAATCATTGTCATATGAAGAGATGATCAAAGACCACGCTATCAAAATATAATAGCAAATATAGATATGTGTCAGTTAATTCAAGTAGAGGATTGTTTTTCTGAACTTTTCAGCTTTTAAAAATGTAAAATTTGATGTAATTTCTTATGCTAAATAAATATTCACATTTTCGCTATATTCATGATCTTGTATTATTTTCACTAAAAGGATACATAGTAGCGAGATCTACTCCCAGGTGGGTGGGGACTCTGTTTTTCATATTTCTACCTCCTATCTCAGCCCTGTGCTGTCACCTTGGACTTGCTCAGTAAAGGAAAGGGATGAGTTAGTGAGCTGGCTGTGTTACTATCACCCTGCCTCTGTGACTCCCAAAGTCACTCCACCCTCTAGGCCTCTGATTATTCCTCTATGTACGGAGAGTCCTTTCTTTCCCAAGGGTTTGGACATCCCTAGGGCTGAGGGATCTGCCTCAGAGTCTGCCAGGTCAGTCAGCAAAACTGCAGAACAGCCTGTACTCCACAGATGAGCAAATGTCCTGGGAACTTTGTTTGGCTTTTTGTGTGTTCAAGGACTTCAACTTTTTAGAGCAGTTTGAGGTTCACAGAAAAACTGAATGGAAGGTAGAGAGATTTCCCACATACCCTCTCCCAGACACATCTAGAGCCTCCCCCATCATCAACATCCCCACCAGAGTGGTACGTTTGTTACATCAGCACATCATTTCCACCCATAGTTTATACCAAGATGTCGTACATCCTATGGGTTTTAACAAATGTACAGTAACATGTATCCATCATTATAGTGTCATAAGAGTAGTAGTTTTGCTGCCCCCAAAAAATCTTCTGTGCTTTGCTTATTCATCATTTTTTCTCCCAAACCATTTACCTTTTTACTGTCTTCATAGTTTTGCCTTTTTAGAATGTCATATAGTTAAAATTACACAGTATGTTGCCTTTTAAAATTAGCTTCACTTAGTAATATACATTTAAGTTTCTTGCATGTCTTTTCATGGCTTAACAGTACACTAATTTTTAGTGCTGAGTAATATTCCATCATCTGGATGTACCAGTTTATTTATCCACTCATCTACTAAGGAAATCTTGGTTGCTTCCCAATTTTGGCAATTATGAATAAAGCTACTATAAAGATCTATGTGCAGGTTTTTGTGTGGACATAAGTTTACAATTCCTTTGGGCAAATACCAAGGAGCATGATTGGGAGATAATACAGTACAAGTATGTTTAATTTTGTAAGAAATCATAGAAACTTTGTTTTTGATGCACATGGCCCAGCAAAGAGTCCCTCTGTAACTGGCCCATTGTAGTTAAGGCAACACAGAAGTGATGAATCACCTGAAATCGAATCCTATGTTGCACATTCCTGCCCTGTGGACAGTTTATAGGCTTGTTGAATTGCACATGAAATGGAAAGTGTCTCACCATTCCCTAAAGCAATGGAAAATTCTCTCATCCTCTGCCATGGCTGATTCTTTGCACAGGTCACAGGTAAGGGGCAGTGAGGATGCTCAGGCTCATATTGATTTAGCATAGTCAGGCCTTCACTGTGTGTATTCTCCTGTTGGCTGCCCAAGTTCAAGGCAAGGCTGTTATTAATGCTCCTGCTTCAGGATGTTAGTAGATGGTTGAAGTTATTTTTTTTCCTGGGCACATTTAAATGGACCTAGAACATTGTAATTGCCACAAATGGACTCCCTTCCAAAGGCAAGCTGCACAACTTGGTAATTTCTTTGAAGGCTCACATTCTGCTGCTGTCTCCTTCTACCCAAGTGCTGAGCAGAAGCCATGTGTGGAGCCAGGCCTCTACCACGCAGACCCACCCACAGTCCAGTGCAGAAAAGGACATTCATGCTGAATGTGCAACTGTCAGAATAAGCTACCGGCTGTGCACTGAAGGAGACTCAGTTTTTCTTGCTGTAATAAATACTATAGAACACTTCTAGTAAAAATAACTATAGGGCACAAGCCCTGCCCAAGAGCTTTATTTTTATAGTTAATCCTCTCAACAAGGGCAAGCAGTCGGTAATATCCAAACAGACACAAGTCCCTGTGTTTAACACTGTTTTCTTAATTGTAAAATAGCAGTGATGACAGAAACCACAACTGATCGCACACCTACCTGGGGCCAGACCCTGTCCTAGGCAATGGGAGTGAAAGATGAGAAAAACACATTTTCTTCTCACAGCATTTAAGGAGCTCCTGGGGTCGGGGTGGAGATAAACATTTAAACAGGGGATTTACAACAAAGCAAATCACAAACGACACAATGTTTAAAGGGAAGTTTGAGCAAGTCAGAGACATTTTTGCTAATGCAGGTCTAAAAGAAAGCTATTTAGCTTCCCAAAATAATTTTCTATGAAAATCCTTCCAGACTGTATTTAAAATATAATTGGGTTTAGAGAAGGACAGGAAAACAGAGAGATGCAGATCCAACATCCAATCTTCATTGCTATGCATCTTTCCCCCATTAATCTTCACAATAACTCCCATTATGTTATCACCACTTGATTACCTTTGTTTTTCAGATAAAAAAACCTGAGGCTCAGAGAGGTTAAGAGACCAAAGCCAGGTCACAGAGCAGCACGAAATCTGAATGCAAGTGTGTACAATTGTCAAGCCCATGTGTTCTCCAGCACTCAGCAACCTTTTCCGGAATGCAGACATAGTATGAATAAGGGACCCCCTTGTATTACAGAACCTGGAACTTGAGAAAACCCCAGGCTGAGTTGGAGGTTTTGAGTCCTGTTTCTTCATTCATTTTCCCCCTTTCTCCTGCTAAACACAGCTGCTTCACCTTACCAGGCCCAAGATTCATTGCTGCTGGTGTTCAGGCCTGAGCTCAGCTCTCTGGGGACCATGTTTGAGGAGCTTGGTGACTCAGACCCTCCACTCTAAATTCCTATTAAGCACTCTAGATTTAATAGCTGCTATTAATACAAATTATGCTTCATTAAGCATGAAGCTAAGGAGAATGCAGCTCAGAGGCTCCGGTTCAATACAGGACTGAAGGACAAACAGCACGGCTATTTTTAATCCTGGCAATGTCAGTGGGGAGAGAACAGCCCAATGCTGCATGTGCCTGTCCCTACTTCTGCAAATTGAATTTTCATATTTTCAAATAAACATCCCTTGTTTTTAGCTTGTGGTGTGTGACAGAAGTAAACATTTCTAATCCTTGAGAGATGGTAGTACCAAGAACATTTTTCCCTTCACAAAACTTTTTTTCTACAAAACCTAAGGTACAGGGAGGGAGAAGCTATCAGCAGGTCCCCTAGCAGGGGTTTCCATTAGAAATCTTCCTGGAGACTCTAACTCCACACCTCAGTGAAGGCTCATGGGCTGGGGGTTAGCAAATCTTGCCATGACATCCTATTAACCTCGCTGGTTTTATAGACTGTGTTCTATCCAGAGGCAGCTCAAAAGTAGGCAAAAATTACAACTGTGGAGTTCTTCTAGATTGGGGATCAGTAAGCATTTTCTGTAAAAGGCCAGAAAACCAACATTTTAGGCTTTGTAAGACCTATAATCTCTGCCATTGCAGCATAAAAACCACTACAGACTACACATAAAGGCATGTGCATGACCGTGTTCCAATAAAACTTTATCTGCAAAAATCAGATGTAGGCCAGATTTGGACCACAGACCATAGCACCCTACATTCTATCTGCTTCAAACTGTCACATCATAGATTTTGTTGTAATGGGTATAACCTTAGTTTCGTAAGACTATGTCATGACAACTTTATCTGTTTACCTACAAAATTGTGACAGTTGATAGCCATTTAAAAAGAAATTCTCTGTGTGATACCAGTACAGGCTTATGGCATTACCATGTTTGGATGGCTCGAATTTAGTTGTTAGTTCCACTGTGTTCAACTAAGTCTGTAGTATCACATTGACGGGGGTGCAATTTGCAATCAGCACTTTAGCTGAGAAGTCAATTTGGATACTTTTGTATTTTATATAGTACATGATCATTTTTGTTATAAGAATCTGACAATGAGTACACTACCCTTTCTTCCAATGAAATGTTCTAGTTTATCCACTATAGTAGGTAAGATATATGTTTTGGCTAATATTCATTCCTACCTTCTTTTGAGAAGTTCCTTGCCCTTCAATTTGATGTTATTGCTTTGGCCAATGAGATATTAGGGCACAGAAAGGGAGGAGAAGCTTGAAATGACAGGTCTGAGCATGCTTTCCACCATAAGTGATGCCAATAAGGTGATAGAGCTGCTTCCAAGAATTTATGAGGAACAGGGTAGCCCTTGAATAAGATTGCTAGGGGAAAAAGAAAACAAAATTAAAAAAAAAAAAAAAAAAACAGATTACTAGGCCAGATGCAAAACTAGTGACTGTCTTACAGGGCAGTAAAACCACAACTGAGAGGTGGCAGGGGAGGGGTTATTTTCTGTAAAACAGATTAAAAATTGGCATATAACTTTACAATGTCTGGACCAAATAGTGAATAGCAAGGTCAGACACAGGTACATTCTCATAGATATTAAAAAATCAATCTTCAGTTGAACCTGTTAACCATTAGAAGGATATCTGCCTACATTTCCGCCTTATTCTCAAGCTTTAAGCAATTCTTCTTCATAATGTTGAAGGCTACATAACGATCCCAAAGAATTATCTTTGAGTTGTAAAGGAAATTCAGTGCCTAAGCAACAGCACTCAGGAATTTCCTAGGTGCAGCAGATCTGTTGACTCATGCAATGTGGCCATTCAGTGTAAATAAACCATAGGCTTTGTGTACCCTGTTGCCTCAGCTGTTCCACCAGCTGAGGTGTCAGAGGCAGAATGGCTAGAAACCCTGTGATAAAGGAAGGCACAGGTCATTCTTCCCATGCAGTGGCTTTTGTGGATTGGCTTAGACTGAGAACAATTGCAGCATCAGTAGCTCCACTTGAAGCTCCACTTCAATTTCTTTTACCTTTCCCTGACATTGAGACCACCTTTAAGAAGGTTCGAACTCATCCAAATGGGTTAATATGAACAGTCATCTGATTTTATTGGCCTCACTGTATCTATGTAAAGCAAATATGTCAAGACTCCAAAACTGTCGTGGTAATAACAGTATGCCTGAAGCTGAGACAGCTTCTGCAACTATTAAGGAAAGGGAGAAAGGCTGAGCTTGAGTCCTGACATTGTTGGACCACTCAGTGAACCCTGGAATACCCAGCCTTACTTATCCTAAAGTAAATCATAAATGTCCTTATGGTTTAGCCAATGTTGATTGGGTTTCCTCTTACATGAGACCAAATGCACCCTAACTAAAACTGTGTGTGTGTGTGTGTGTGTGTGTGTGTGTGTGTGTGTGTGTGTGAAGATAAGGAGGTGAGGCAAGATTTCTCTCTTGAAATAAGCGTATAGACCCAAATTCAAAATACATGTGGAAATCAAATGCAATGGAAGACAAAATAAACAGTAAAATATGAATTCATTCCAGATGAGAGTAAAATTATAGATACTTCGATAATGACTTTAAATAAATATGTCTAGGATCCTTATGAGAAGAATTATAAGTAAAAGTGACAGAAATTATGAGACAAAATAATGCATAAATTAAAATCACACTCAGCTATTGAAATATATTTAATTTTCAAGATTTCTGATTCTGTTCATTATCTTTTTATATTTTTTCTATTTTAAGCATTTTAAAGATGCTTTGGCCAGTTCTCCTAAGGATGTATCAATTTGACTTGACTAAAAGTCCCAGAAATATTAAAGATGACAAGATAGAAAAAGATGCCTCAAAGAATGCAGAAATTATATAAAGAACTAAACTGTCTAATTTTATGTTTAACAGTTTCCCAAATGTGACAATTCTAAAAATTTACATGACATTTATGGAAATAGAGTGTACAACTGAAAAACAATTTCCAAAACTATTGATGACAAAAAGCAAATTTGGATGAACCACACCAGAGGAAAGATTGATTTACCATTTAACTCTCTCTATAAACAACGACATTACCAAATTATTGACATATGAAAAGGCAATCCAAAGAAGGAGCCAAAAATGTACTGAGATGAGCTAATCCAGGAAACTCTATTTATTAGATGACGCTGAAGGCCAGTGTCATAACTCCACATCCCGGCACCTAAGGGATGCGTCTCCAGCCCCTCATCACAGGTGCTGTCTCTGATCTGGCAGAGCACCTGACTGCAGTACTCAGGGACACAGCACAGGTTCTGAGCACTAGTGGTAGGATGCAAGCAAGCACTGTGACTTGCACCTCTTCACCCTCTGCCTCTCTAGACAGCCCATCTTCCCAATTGAACCCTGAACTAATAAATGAGGTTGAGGTTTCTCTAGCTTATGATATACAAATCAAGGCTTTCTGTCCTTTGACAAGCATTACCAATAGACCTATAACCAGGTAAAATCTTCATTCACTGAATCAGAAACTTTAGCCTTCAATTTCTTTAGCTTTCTGACTTTGAGCCCTGAGGCCAGTACTCATTAATGAAGTTGTTGCAAACAGTGGCAAATAACCCTACTGCTGTCTTTCCCTCAAAAGCTATTTTATTCGGGCTGCAGAGTCTGGAAGGCAGGCCGCTGCCCCCATTTCCCAGTTCCCTGTGGGTTTTGTTGTGCTGTATTTTAGAGACAACTTACATGGAACACAATCTTCCAATGTGAGACAGGTGATCATAGCCCACATAACCACTGCTCTAGACCCCAAAAGCAGCCCTGCCCCATCTGTCATTACTTAATCTTATCCACATAACTGACCAAGATGGTTTAAAATAGTCTGTCATCTGAAAATGCAATACAATATGCCAGATCTTTGAATTTAGCCATGGCAATTTTTTTTCTGGTTCTTAGTCTTCCACCAAAAAAATTTACGTAGACCAGATGTTGCAAACTAAACGCACAATGTGTTCAGTTAGGCCTACACAAAATTTTTACTAATATGAAACTATTTAACAACAAAAATCAGGATACTACACTGTTAGATCCACTTTTAAATTCAAATTTCTGCTTCTCTGGGAATATTACAGGCAATAGCCACACGGAGCTGGCACTCCTGCTTGGCACCACATGTGTGGCTGGAGAGGGAGCAGCTCACTTCTTCAAACAGGGCATGTTCTCTGCCCCTCAGTTCCCCCCAGTCTCTACTTGTCTAATGGTTGGCTCTGCAGCTCCCTCCCTCTTTTACATTACCTGCCTGGATTCTGCAGGGGTTTGGATTTGTGGTCCTTCATAACATCACAAGCACAGCAAAACCAGCATAAGTCTAACTAAGAGGGGGAAAAAAAATGACCTGGAATCCTGCCTTTCTAACTGCCTTCCACTAAAGTCAGTCTTCACTGGCTGGGTGACTCTTGACACGTTCTATAACTTTTAGGAGTCTTGTTTTTCTCCAGGGTAAAATGAGGCTAATGGTACGGATCCTGCATGATGTTTATGAGGATTAAATAGTATAGTATTTGCACAGCACCTGGTAGCTATTATTATGATTAGTTTATTCAGTCATAAGCCATACTCCATTTCTTAAAGATGGGCCTAAAGCCAGCTACGGCCTCAGAGATCTGAAACATGCTGTGAATGCTGTTTCATATGCAACTTATACAACATATAGCTTGAAAATGCATTTTTAAATATTTCATTAATTCCTCACAATGATTTTGGGAGGTTGCTATTGTTATTACCTATATTTAATATGTGAAGTTGTTGAGGCTTAACAGAGTCCCAGCCCCTGTAATATCCTGAATACATCTTCGTATCACAGCACTTGCCAATTACATTATAATAGTTATCTATGCCTATGTCTGCTTTTCTTCCCAGGCTGTGAGATCTTTGAAATTAGGGACAAATTGAAGTCACCACTGCAACTCTGGTGGATCACAGAGGGTCAGGCCCAGGAAGAGTGCTCAGCCAGCTCTGGCTAAATCAATCAGTCTATGGCCAAAGGAAAAGCCCCGAGGTCGGAGAACCAGTGAGTAACTGTGAGTCAGGTGCAGCCCTAGATCCACTTCCAGTCCACTGTTCTCCCCTTTCCTCAGTAGCGCTGATATTTTTCCTTCACTTCCTCAAACTTCTGAGCCTACAGCTTCTTCACCAGGCAGAAGCTGGGAATTTCACCTATGCAGTCAAATGTGGAACCCAGGCTGCTGATGGGGGCTCCAGTAGAAAGAAACATGACGTCACTCCTTAGGTACTAGAGGGAGAGGTTGTCTTCTGTAAAGCTGCCGATGCTTTGCAGCCCAGGCTGCCCCGCTTTCCTCACAGTACTCCGCCATGCACCCTAAACCAGGTCTCAAGCACTCCAACACCTCACCCACTGTGCAATAACATGGAAACCTTGTAACCAGCAAAACAAAACACACTATAATAAGCTTTAAAATGAGAGTTATTGAAGCTTAACTTATGTACCAAAAGTCAGCCATTTTAAGGGTACAATTTGATTAGTTTCGACAAACTGAATATAATCTTTTAACTACCACCACAGTCAAGATATCGAATATCTGCATTAGCCCCAAAACATTCCCTTTGGCTTCTATCCCAACTTTCTTTCTTCAGGCAACCACTGCTCTGCATCCCATCACTGCATTTTGGCTTTTTCTAGAATATCACACAATGGAAGAATAAAGTATATGGTCTTTTAGGTCTGGCTTTTTCACTCAACATGATGCTTTTAGGATTTATCTGTGTTGTTCCACATATCATTAGGTTTATCCTTTTTATTGCTTAGAATTCCATTGTATGAATGTATCAAAATTTACTTATCCATTTACCTGTTAGTAGACATGTAAGTTGTTTCGAGTTTTTGTCTATGTTGAATAAAGTTGCCATGAACGTTTGCATACAAATGTTTATGTAGAATATGTTTTCATTTCTCTAAGATAAATACACAGTAGTAGAATGGCTGGGAGATAAGGTAAATATATGTTTAACTTTATAAGACAACACCAAATTATTACCTAAAGAGCCTATCCTGCTTTACTCTTCCATCAGCAATTTACAAAAGTTCCAGTTGTTTCCACATTCCGTTTGACATTTGTATGATTAGTCTTTTTATATCTGGCCATGTTAATGTGTATGTAGTAGTATTTCATTGCGGTACCATTAATTTGGAGTTCCCCTGTGACAAATAATGTTAAGCATCTTTTTATATGCTTATTTGCCATTCATATATCTTCTGTGGTAAAGAGCCTGATCAAATCTTTTGCCTTTTTAAAAATTTCAATGTTTTGATTCTTAATACTGAATTCTGAGAGTTCTTTATATACTCTGGATATAAGTCCTTTATTCAATATACAGTTGGCAA